GGATTCTTCAACAGACTTATTATAGGCGCGAAATCTAGCCAAAAGCTTGTCATAACTGAGAGAGATGTCGGCAATCTTGCGCTCAAGACGAAAGTAGGCATTTTTTCAATTAGCCAAGTCAACAGTAGAAAAGCTAACCTTAGAATCCTTCTCAATGAGGGAACTTCTCAGCTCAGATATCATCGCCCTTAAATCAGACGTCTTCTTCTCATAACTGGTCTGCTCGGCAGAAAGCTTGCTAATTAGTTCAACATTCTTCTTCTCCAACTCATTGAACTGAGCAGAAGAGGGGGCAACAACAGACGAGTTCCAAATGGTCTCAGCAGCAAAAACTATTCCTTTTTGAAGCAGATGAAATGTTGATTCCCTTTGTTTTTCCAAGGAAAGACTTGAAAAAGTACCAAGATCACCAGCCTGGCGGATTTGATCAACCAGCTCAGCATAAGCAGATGGACTTGATAGAAAGTGCGTCTTGAGCAGATCAGACACGCCTGCATCCCCTACAAGGCTGGACTTGTCCACCTTGGGATCAGCCGCTAACGTTGCAGATGACTCTCTTGCTTTCGTAGCCTCTGCCAACCTCACTTCCAAAGGAATTAGTGATGACGAATCAACTCCACGCTTGACTGCTCGTGACTCAACAGCTGGATCATGATGGTTGGATGGATGAGCAGACCTCCCAGATTGATCTCCACTCTTCAATTGGTGCAAACGACCCGAACTTCGGAGAGGAATATCTGCATATCTTTGCCTCTTAACAGGTGAACTAGATCGCACACGGACTACTTCAGGATCACAATCTCCAAACTCATCAGCAAGAGGCTTAAGGGGAACATCCCTAATGTTGCGCATACCGCCAATCTTCTTGCTATCTGCACCAACGAGATGTTTGACCCTAGCTGATGACGGGGGAACAATTCCTACTTGAGTCTTCTCAACAGAAGGGATCCTTGGCTTCTTCCTCAAAGGGAGACACATCCTTCACCCCCGAAGTCGCAGCTTCATTCCTTGAAGACTTGACATCAACCTTCCTTTTTGAGGGGGGTCCGGCAGAACACTCCTCCTGCCCAATACTCGCTCAGCAGGCACCAGCATCCACCGCCTCTCCAATCGTCTTCGGCCGCCAGTCACGACGAAAACCAACCTAGTCCTACCCAGCTGGTCCTCGCGGCGAAAAAGAGAAGACGAAGAAAAAATATACGTGCTCTACTTACCTTGAGATGCATGGCAACTCCTCTCTTTGACAAGCAGTACAAATTCTCCAAGATCTTTTTCAAGCTAGAAAGTAGAGAAGTTAAGTTTGCGATGTGAGAAAGAGTGGAGAGAAGCCCTATATTTATACAAGTTGAACAACCCGGGTCAAGAAGGAATCGAAAGTCCATTCCTACTGGGAATCCAACTCCAAGAACAATCGGAAGCCTACTCCAATTGGGAATCTGATTTGCAAAAAGAGTCCAACTCACAGAAGAAAGCCTAGACACGGGTTGGAGAGCCCGAAAAATAATTTGATCTCCTACATGCCACACAAGCGTCGTGCAGAAGCAGGGGGCCATTTGTGGGAGCAAATATTTTCATTTCCAATCACAGCACGCCACATGGAAAAGAAGATTATCCCTTAAATTAATTAATTAAACCAATTTATTTGGCCAATTAATTAATAGGGATAATATCTTAATTATAAGATATTATCTTTATTTAATAAGATAATATCATTAATTTGGATATTATCCTAATAAGGGGATAAAGTCATCATCAAATTAGGAGATTTGGATTCCAATCAAATTCCTAATGGGCTCAATCTCTACAATTTGGGTAAAAAATAAACTCCTCCTAATAAGAGTTTATTCTCTACAAAACCCTAGCCCCGAGGCTCCTATAAATAGATGACTTCATTCATCATTCAAGGTACTTCAAAAGACCTACTTCTAAACCAAGCTCCAAAACCCGAGAAAAATACCCAAAGCTCTCTCCCTCTCCACTCTCCACGCTCCGGCCACCACACAAGGCTCCGGCCACCCGGTTCTCACCCTAGAGAAATCTCCGTACCCTTTTTTAGCTATCGTTTCACCAAGATTCAATCGAACTAACTTAGGCATCGGAGGGCCTTTGGCCAACACCCCCCGAGTGTGGTCTATTTACTCCGGTCTTTTTTATAGGAATCGAGGAAGAGAGAGAAGGAAGATCAAAGAGCGAAGGATCTAGAAGCGAATGTTCTCCCGCGAGATTATTTGCACAAACAGTTATGTTTTAATTTAACTTTGTCTATTGGATTTGGATAACTTGTTCTAATGGTATTGTAGGATGAATTCAGATACTTTGCTTGGTTTAGGATAGCCATAACAATATACGAAGAAAAAAATATTTGTTTGAACTCATTTGAATTGTACTGTTTGTTACCATAAAGCCAACCTCAAATTGTTGTAAATGAATATGCTTTGCAACCATATTTTCACCTCCAACGAATTGTGTCTCATCATATGCTTTACTCAACTAACTATCAATTTAGCAGTATATCTCTCAATTTTGTTAGGTAAGGAAGACTTCGAGTTCCTCCCTATCTCAAATATTTATTTAGTTACAAATAACTTTTTTTTAAATGAAAACATGGTAAAGTGATCTAAATAATCACCTAATTTTCTGTGACGCGTGTAGGTGATTTTTCGTTCCAACAGCTCCATATGGGCATGAACTGTTGTGAAGAGAGTGGATGATGTCACCCTTTTGCCTGAGTTTAAGAATCAAACCCCAAAACACTCCGAAAGCTTATGAATCCTTAGGGAGTTTCTCTCACCAAGAGGATTAGAAATGACTAAAGAGAGCATAAAAGGCACTATGGGACAATCTTATTGCTTCCTCAACCATGCACTTAGCGTCGTCGGCAGTAGCTCCTTTGGTCAGGATAAGGTCACACCGCTTATGGCACTAGTTCTCCAGTTCTCATTGCCTAAGGTTCAAAGCATGAACTGGAGCTTTTACTTCATCAAAGTGGGATGACATCCCTATGTTATGGATGACTAGTGCCCCAAAAATGGCTCACGCTAAATTCCTCAACAAGTTAAGTAGGAATTCCATGCAAAACCCTAACCCTCAGTTTGGATGAGGAAAAATAACTCAGAATTTGGTTGAAAGCGGGGAATTTAAATGGAGAAATTGATAATTCCCATGTTTGGCAACTTAAGCGCGAAATTTATTAAATGATGCGTAGAAAAAAGCGTGGAAATTTGGACATCAAATTCCCAAGTTTAATTTCCACCGAAATAGGCATAATTTCACAATTTCTATAGAGCGGGAATTCATTTTTTTCCCAGCACCAAAACTCACAATAAAACTCAGCTACAAAAATTATCTTTTGCCAAATCTCAAAGCTACAACCAAAGAAGGAAGGAGAAGGAGTTCTTCTTGAGTTACATGTTGTCTCTATGCATCAAATTTGAAGGTTAGTCTTCAAGCCTATCTCTCTCCCCGTCAACTCATGTTTTTCTATTTTAGGTGTACCATGATTTCTGAATGGATATCACAGTTGGGTGATTCTGACTAAATTTTTGAATCTATTATGAATGAATGTTGTGATCTTTGCGGCACTATGGCTGGATTTTGGGAAGTTTTAACAAAAAAACTATGTGCCCGTGGATATTGGTGTGCAATGTTTTCCTGCAGCTCTATATATGTTTCTTAGCTTTATCGCTTTGTGCTTATTAATGCTTTTGTCTTCTATGCTTTCTATATGGAATATGGTTTTGCCTAAAAATAATTTGTTTGATGTGTTAGTTTTTCACTCTCTGTTTATCCTCTTCTTGCTTGTCTTTTATATATTTTTCTTCCCAATAGTTCGAGCATATGTTGCCACACATATTAACGAGTTTAGGTGTTTGCTCCTCCCTGCCCTTAAGTGTTTTCCTGGATTGTTATCAACTATAGTATATTGAGAGGTTTGACCAAAAAAAAAAAAAAACTAATGTATATTAAGAGTACAAGGCATGTTCATTACATTAAGTCAAAGTGGATTCAGTTGGGAAAAAGATGATAAGTGTGGATGAAGATTATGTTCGGGAAGAATATGTGAAGGTAAATATATTAAAGCTATTTTTTTTAATCATGTGCATCTGTATAAATATTTATTAGTTTCTTGTTTCACTTTGACTATTTGTTTGGTAGTCTCATGACAATGCTAGAGGTTTTCGATTTAAAGTTATTGAAAATTGAGAAGATATAGTAGATTTGTATGGCAAAGATAGATCTACTGGAGGGGAGTGCTGAAATAGATGCAGATGCAACTGAGGTTATGACTCCTCCTACCAATGAAGTTGAACATGTTGATTTGGATGGTGATACACAAGGTTTTAGAAGATATCCATCTTATTGATGATATTTCACCAAACTCAACAAATAATCAAAAGAAAAGAAATTGTGCATTAAATTCTTCTAATATTCTTTCTATAAAGAAAAGAGGAGCATTCAAAGATGTTGTTGCTGATTCGATTGCTAGAACGGTTTTATCCTTTGAAGAGTTTATCGGTGCTAATATCAAGAACCTTGATCCAATAGAGATATGCTGAAGTACAAGCAATATCAAGTCTTAGTGAAAATGAACAACTCAAACCATGTGCTTGGCTAATAGAAAATGACAAACAATTTCATATGCTAAAGGCATTCCCAACAGAGGAAAAACAAAAGTATCTTACTGATGTTTATTGCACGTGGGTGTGAATTGATTTGCTAATATGCTATGTTTTTTTTTCTTTTCAATTTGTTGACCTCTTTAGCTCATCAAACAATATGTTATTTTACATTTGGAGTAATACATTCTATGTTGGTTGTGAGTTTCTTTTTTTTTTTTTTTTTTCTGATACAAATGTCGTTCATGAGTTAGAAATAAATTATCAATTTAATAAAATATTTAATTTCTAACATTTAAGATTTCCATGAGCTATCCAAACACTAAAATTTCTATCATTTACAAAATCCGACATACATAAATCCAAACACTGAAATTTAAATGATAGAGATCAAAATTCCATCATTTTAGAATTCTATGTAATTTTCAGTTCCTTCATCCAAACAGAGGATAAGGGTACAACCTCACAAATCGCATCCCGCTAGCAAAGAATTTTGTAATCAGTAATATCCTCTTTTACCATGCATCAAGGCCTTCATGCGATTTAATAATCAACTTGAGTTGAAATTTATTAAGAAAATTCTCAGTGCAGTCAGGACCCCAAATCAGACCAATGTCTCTTATATTTGAAGAAAGACCAGGATTCATTGAGGATCCAACCACATCACGTCACCAAGAATCAAGTTGGGACCTATCTTGATACTCCATGAGGAGGTCCCAACTTGGTTCCTGGTGACATGATGTGGTCGGATCCCTTAATGACTCCTGGTTTTTCTTCAAATATAAAGAGGCATTGGTCTGATTTGGGGTCCTGACTGCACTGAGAATTTTCTCAATAAATTTCAATTCAAGTTGATTATCAAATCGCATGAAGGCCTTGATGCACGGGAAAAGAGGCCAAGTACTGGTGGATCAAATGAATGCCCTTTTTTATGTTGCAGTACTTTACAAAGAATTCACGCCGTAAGATCACTGATTACAAACTTGGACATTACCAATTACAAAATTCTCCACGTGGGCTTCTCCTCACCCAGGAGGTATTGCCGACTGCGCTGAGTGCGTGGTGGACGCAGCAACAAGATCGTCACATAGTGCCTTTTCTTTCTCTTAAGTCGTGCCCAAGTGACCCAATACTTGCAACTGATTTAGAAAACAAAAGTCATTTAAGAATTCTCAGTCATCTTTTACTTTTATCACAGTATAAGTCAACAAAACTATACATATGCTGACCTTCCAATTAGGTAGAATAGACAATCGGGTTCACCCTGTTAGAAGCAAAAGATATACATGATCAACATAAATTTACAACATCAAAAAGCTGTTAAATCAAAAGAAAAAAGAAGTAACTAAAAATCTGGACGTAATGCAAATAGAATAATAAGAGGCTCATGTGTTGCTTCGTCCTTACCGGTCTTACAGGAAGCTCCTTGGAGTTAAATGATAGTGCAGGGCTGAATGAAACAGGAGGCTTCACAGCAAATCCAGTTCCCTCCAGCTGAATAGTTGTCCCAGTTTCTCTAATTGTATTCTCTTGCTCCGCTGATGGTATCAGGATATCTTTCGGGGGATGAAATTTGCAGGTTGCACCAAACTTACATTGCCCCGTTTTCAAGTGAAACTGTTTAAAAATTATGAAAATGGAATATAAGCAAATCTACATCATAGATAGATAGATAATGCACACAATAAATGTAATGGAAATATATCTTACTGCACATGGGGGTTCAGAAGGCCTCTCAGGTAAGGCAAAAACATCAGCATTTGCTGAAGCAACCAAAAACCAGAGTAGTGCATCATATCATAATAAAATAGGGAATCGGTCCAGATGACAGTTAACTCTTGAAAAATCCACATATCATCTGCAGCCAGTTTGTCCTTCGGACGATTGAACTTGCACCTCATACCAAATTAGCATCTTTGAGTCTTTATAAAGTACTGCAACATAAAAAATAAAATAAAATAAGGGAAAAGAATCCATGTCCAGTTAATGAACCAATCATGGAGCGATATGTGGAACCTAATGAACCAATCATAAACTTCTGTTATGTTATAGCAATATAACTTGTCTCTTTATCATAATAAAATAGACAATAGCACACAAACAGCTGCAATCTATGATCAACAAATTCAATTTCTAAAATTAAAAAGCATACAAGATTAACTTATAAATAAGCTAATTTAAGCAATGTATGCATGCATCAAAGCAGCAACTCCATTCCCACTCTTTGATCTCTATGATTCTACGATTAGAAACTTCCAGTAAACGTCTGTATTAAAGCAATGAACTTAAATCATAACCATATTCAAGATTCTCACTTTCTTATCAAAGTTCAAACAAACAATAAACAATTACATCAGAAATTTTCCCAGTAACCAAACAGAGAGCAGAGCGGAGAGTAAGGAACCTTCAGAGGGGCGTTTCACGCCGGGAACGCCGGGCTCGACATTGGGAGATGGCCATGAAGACTAGGACATCAAATGCGACGTCGCCAGATACATAGAGCTACTTTGGCTATGGTCGTCGGTGGCGGAGGTCGAAGGGTCGCACTCGGAAAGGCACCGGAGGGTCAGGTCGGTTAGGGCACGTGAGGTGTAGACGCTGGAGAGGGCGGCAGCAGCTGATTGTGCGGCCCCGTATCCGTAGAGATGGCTCGACATGGATTGTTTGGAGATGTAAATCCCAAGTTTATATGCAGATGCCTAGAAACTGTGAAATCATCAGATTCACGACACATGTCCCGTTTCAACTTTTGTCACTGTTGGATTTTGGGGGGTGAGTGGGGTAATTTTATTTCAACCTAAACAATTTTACTTCTGTTAAACCCAAATTGAGTCCGGGCAAAATCCAAATAGTCACTTTTTGGAGGGGGAAAATTTGGGTTTAGCCCCTCATGGGTTGGAGATGGTCTTAGGCTATCTCCAACCTATGAGGTCAAACCCAAATAATCCCAAATTATAGCCCAATTTTTCTCCCAACTTAAGTAATCTCTAACCCATGAGGTCAAATCCAAAAAATCCTAAATTATTTCCCAAAACCTCTCCCAACCCAAGAAATTGAAGGGGCTAAAATTTGGGAAAATCCAAACTTGTGGCCAAATAGCACTCTAGCTATTGCCTAGACCAAAAAAAAATTATTGGAGCCCACCTGCTGCATCAACAGCCCATGTGCAAGCTTTCACCGTTGGGGCCTACCAACAGCCCATGTGCTGGTTATTGAAGATGCTGCCTTGCCAAATGTTGGCTTGTAGTGATGTTATATGTTATTTGTTTATTTTTTTAATATTCTAATATTAACTTAAATCAACGATATATATATTAAATCTAAGCTATTTTAACGATAAAAAAAAAGATCCAAAGACTGAAATTTAAATCCAACGATCAAATAATATTTTAACTTAATCTAAATCAGATCCAACCCCAAAACTCACCCAAAACTATATAAATACCCACTCATTTCTCAAATAATCTACCAAAAATATTATATTTGTGGAATTTCAATTTTTTTAGGTAAAATTGTTCAAAAAATTAAATTATGAAGTTATTTAAAAAGATTAAATGAAGAAAAGTTATCCCTAAAAAAAAATTAGACTTAATCATTCTTAAACAATTTAATAAAGTTGCGGACTTAAAATTTGAGTCTGGAGGGTTGAGAGAAAAAAACAATTTGAGTATGATCAAAACCCAAGTAATTATTTTTTGGAGGGGGAAAATCTTGGTTTAGCCCCAAATGGGTTGGAGAATGCCTTAAGAAAAGTAATGGGCCAAAATTTGGGAAAACCCAAACTTAGGGCCAAACTGGACTATAAAACTTTTTGGTGTAGCCCACTCAAGGCTGACACACCCCATGTACAAGGAGGAATCAATGGATGCCAGGTGTCGCGCTGTTGTTGCCGCAGAAGCTGTCACACGCCAACTGTCGCGTGTTGGTATCGTGCCTTTTTTTTTTCCAACAATAACCCAAATCCAATGATCCATATTAAATCCAAGCTATTTTAACGGTTAAAAAAATCAAACGGTTAAAATAATATTTTAAATTAATCTAAATCAAATCCAACCTCAAAACTCACTCCAAACTCTATAAATACCCAACCATTTCTCAAATAGAATTATATTTTTAAAATTTCAATTTTTTAAAGTTAAATTATTCAAAAAATTAAATTATGAAGTTATCTAAAAAGATTAAATGAACAAAAGTTATCTATAAAAAATAAAATTAGATTTAAACCATTGTTAAAAAATTTAATAAAGTTGCAAATTTAAAATTTTAGTCTGAAGGGTTGAGTGAAAAAACGGTTTGAGTCCGGGCAAAACCCAAATAGTTACTTTTGAAGGAGGAAACTTTGGGTTTAAGACCAAATGGGTTGGAGAATGCCTTATAAATCAATCTAATTAATATGAATGCCCACCATATACTTTTCTCACAATTCCTGCCACTATGTTTTTATCCACAATGATGTGATTGTAATTTACCTTATATTATATTTGTTAAGTGTGGTAAATAGTTGTACTCTATTTTGTCTATAAATACAAGGCATTAAGAGAATTAAATTACAAGTTTGAGAAAAGCAACTCTATAGTTATTATCTTCTTCGAAATTTTCTCCATAAGTCTTTAAGTTTTATATCACGTTATCAACACGAGTCTCTAACCACCCGAGGATCTTGGTCTGAGCTTGGTATAATTTTCTTCCCTCTAAATTTATATTCCATTTTTTATTATATTTACTAGTTCAATCATTAATATGAGTGCTATTTTTACTAACCAAGTTTCATTTAGATATAGCTATACAAATGTTAATTGATACAGGTGGAAGCTATGTCAAAGCATGAATCTTCTATATCATCCATTTTTATATCTAATGCTTGTGCAGGGTTTTTATCTTATATATAACACACTTATTGTTTTTAAATATATCAGCTTTTTTTATCTATAAACTTACAATATTGATATGATGAAGATGAATTTTTATCATATATGAACTCGAAGTTCATAGACCAATATCCTTGGAACCCAAAATTCTAAACTAAAATGATAATTGTAATATCATGATTCATGAATACCTTTACAATAATTGAATTTTATTTTGAATTGAGTGGAAACTTGAAGTTTATATCCTAATGATTTAAACCTGAAGTTTAAAATTAAAATACTCTTAGAACCAAAAGTTCTGAATGATATGATAATTTAAGAGCCAGAAGTCTTAAATTTTATTAAACTTGACCTTGTAGCTTCAAGTACATAAAATACATATTATAATCAAATCATCTACTTAAAATTATTATCCTAAACATTTATATTATTGATGCATACTGTTATTTTTTTTAATTCTTTATTTCTATCTGTAGGAGACTTTTTGTTCTAGATTTTTTGGGCCTCAACACTATCTTTATAGATATACAACAATGTCAAATCTTGCTACGATTGATTTCACTGCACTAGATATTTCTGGCAAGAACTATCTAACATGGGTTCTCAATGCGGAAATTCATCTGCATGCGAATAACCTAGGAAATACCATCAAGCAAGGAAATCAAGCATCCTTGCAGGATCACGTGAAAGCAATGATTTTCCTTCATTATCATCTTCTTGGAGGATTGAAAACTGAATATCTTGGGGTGAAAGATCCAACAGTTCTCTGGAAAAATTTGGAAGAAATACATGACCACTAAAAGAGTATAATACTTCCAAAGGCTCGATATGATTGGATGAACTTGCACCTGCAGGATTTCAAATCTATAAATAAGTACAATTCAGTAATGTTCAAAATTGTATCTCAGCTAACCTTATGGGGAGATAAAGTTACAGAATAAGATATGCTAGAAAAAACATTCACAACTTTTCATGCATCCAATATGCTCCTACAGAAACAATATAGAGAAAAGGGATTTAATAAATATTCTTAACTGATTTCATGTCTCCTTGTTGCATAAAAAAATAATAAGCTTTTAATGAAAAATCTTTAGTCCGATTCAACTGGCTCAAAACCAATCGCTGAAGCGAATACAATGAGAATATCGCCTGAAGCAAATGCAAGAAAATATGGGCACGATTGTGGACGCGGTCGTGGGCGTGGCCAAGGTCATTGTCATGGTCATTACAATTCCCGAAATTAAGGAAGTTATTCAAACAAGTAAAACACATCATACCACCAGTAGTGGAATAATAATAAAGGAAAAGGAAAAGGGAGCATAATTCCCAAAAGAAAGATGATGATGCTTGCTACAAGTGTGGAATAAAAAGACACTGATTATGTACATATTGTACGCCAAAACATCTTGTTAATCTATATCAAGAATCAATTAAGGGAAAGGGAAAAGAGAAAGAAACAAACTATACTGATTTCGATAACATTTTTCGTGATTTCAATGTGCCGATAGACATCATTCATTTAGAGGTTTCTGATTTCTTTATGGAAACAAGTGGAAACATTGATCTCACAATCAATGAAGGAAATGCCAATGATGATGACAAGGCTATCAATGATGGCATTAATGACATGAATGTTTTGATTCATTCTATATTGATCTTTATGCTGTACTTTATGTTTTATGTTCAAATTTCTACATTTTCATGTGTAATGCTTTAAAATAAAAGGCTTGTCGTGTGCTGAGTGTTTCAATTCATGTACTTTGTGTGAAATGCTTTTAATTCAATAAGATGGATCCATGATCTAATGATTCCTATTGTCTTATATGAAGAAATATGGAAAATCTCAATGCCTTGAGCAATTCCAAGATATGGGATGGAGATGTATGTCTAGTAGACAGTGTAACGACGCATACGATTCTTCGAGATAATAAATATTTCTTGCACTTAAATTAGCTAAAGCCAATGTAAATACAATTTCAGGTACTGCCAAGTTAATTAAGGGCTCCGGAAGAGCAACAATAATATTACCTAGTGGAATAAATATTTATATAAAAAATACTTTCTATTCTGTTAGATCCATAAGAAATCTGCTAAGTTTTAAGGATAGTTTCACATTGAAACTATGAATAAAGGGTAACAAAGAATATCTTCGTATCACTTCTATTAACTCATGCTAAAAGCATGTAGTAGAAAAACTTCCAGCCTCCTCATCGGGGTTATATTATACCACCATAAGTGAATAGAATCAAATTATATGGTGAACCAGAAGTTCAACAATCCAAAACTTTTTATAATTTGGCATGATAGACTTGGCCATTCAGGGTTAACGATGATGCGTCGAATAATTGAGAATTCATATGGTCATCCATTGAAGAACCAGAAGATTCTTTCATATAATGATTGTCCATGCGACGCTTGCTCACAAGGAAACTTTGTTATTAGACCATCACCGGTAAAAGTTGTGGGTGAATCTCCCATGTTTTACGAGAGTCCGAAGAGATATATGTGGACCTATTCACCCATCATGTGGACCTTTTCATTATTTTATGGTATTAATAGATGCATCATCTAGATGGTCACATTTTGCTTACTTTCTACACGATATATTGCTTTTGCAAAACTTGTTGCTCAAATAATCAAATAAAGGGCATAATTTCCTGATTATCCCATTAAAACTATTCGTCTTGATAATGCTGATGAATTCACATCTCAAGCATTTGATGATTATTGCATGTCAATTGGTATTAATATTGAACATCCTGTTGCACACACTCATACTCAAA